ATCCTATTTTATTCAATTATGATATCATCGCATAGTATTTCTGTTAAATTTCATTAAGATAACTCACATGTTGACCGATTAAACGATATAAAGTCAACCATAAGTTGGAAATTCTTATATTAGGTGTATCTGAATTTCAATAATATACTCGTATGTACGTATTTCACATACTAACTGATATTTCTGTAAAAATTTAGCTATAGTCAGAATTCGTTTGATCTTATGTGGCATTTAAAATGAAATTATTATATATGTAAGGATGTTCGCCACACATTGTGAGGACATATTGTACATATGTATGTATATTCAATGGGAGTTTAATTCTGCAAATTGATCAATTTCGGGTGGTATTTCAATTGCAAAAATTCTGAGGAATAACACCTACTCGTATCTCCTATCATGAAAATTTTCGTTGCCCTATCAACTCACGCGCCCAATACTCCAATAGTATGTTTTTTTGCAAATGCATTCACACAGATCGCTGCAATGTCGGTGGCAATGGTTTTGGACATGAATTCGGTCTGTTCTCTGTTGGCCAATTCAGCAACATGACAGTTTTTATCTGTGAAAAAATTTAAATATTGTAATTTCAGACTTGAAGTGAGCCGAACAAACAGTTTGCTGCCAAGCCAAGCGAAGCCAGGAGTGTCGATTATATAGATCACCAACTAACTTAGTTCGCAGCCATTTGCGCAGATGACTGATTCATTCATTTTTGTTTTGCCACCAAAGGATACCACCGAAGTCAACAGATAGGTTCAGCATACTTTACTCAGTGATCAATTGTGAGGAGGAGGAGGAATTGGGAGAATGTTATTGAATACTAAATGTCCTCTTCTGCCTCTTCTACCTCGCACTGCACTGCTTTTCGCGATGGCTCTTTCGTGAAATCTTGCGTGGGCTTGATGAGTGCCCCTGCTGCATACAACATTAGCTACACTTGTTAATGAATCATTCTTATTGTGTTTCTTCTAGAGAATTGCGATTGCTACTCAAATTGAATAATCCAATTATTGCTACTGTTTTATAGTGAGCTTTAGGAACGTTTGCGTTGAGTTTGCGTGTATTTAATCGAATTAATTATGCACACCTTTGTTGGTTTTTAAGCTTTACTACCACCTTCTCTTAAGTTCTTTTGCCCATACTGAGAATGGGTCTTGATCTCTGCACTGTTGTGTTAATTGTTAGTATGGCCTGCCCACCCGTCCAGTTGATTATACTCTTATTGACGGGTCGGATGTTGCATCCCGCTGTCGGCGTATGCCAAGACATGATATCACTGGAGCAGGCGCAGACAGAGATAAGGAAAGGCTCAATGGCTTTATTTAGAATGAATTTGTATTGCAAAAGTTTTCGTTTTGTTTGTTTACTCATTCGTTCGCTACGCGCCACAGGTCAGTGTCATGATTCTTAATGATTTCCCACTTAATTGGACCACACGTATTCGTATGTATTAACAACAGTGATTTAATGAAATTCAACTAATTTGCATATGCATCAAAAATTGTTGCTGATGATACACATACAAACGAAATGCTGCTGCAGAGCAAGTCCTATGTGTAAACCAGCTTTCTGTGAAGACATTACACAAATCTGTCTACACGATCGTAAATAAGCTAAATTGACTCATGTCGGAAATACTTCACACCTACTACTCACCTCTGCTCATTGCTCTGCACAAATTAAATGTAGAGCCGTTGCAAAGTGTATGTGGATGTACTGAAACAATGTAAGAGCGGGATGAAAATTATTTGCTATTATTTTTTATAATTGATACTAAAGAAAGTTAGTAAAATCGGTCAATATACCTACTAGATATCTTAATGAAATTAGGCAAGTCTGTTTTTGAACTCAAGACGGTTTGATGCCTAAATTGCATTAAACGGTAAGTTAATTGGATGTTAAGTATAATTTCAATCACTATTTCGTCAATCACTAAAATGTCAAATCTCGTCAAAGTTACTTCACGGTAGTCATTATACGCTGAACAGGGTATATTAAGTTGCCACGAAGTTTGTAACACCTAGAAGGAAGAAGAAACTGAACAATCGGAATCAAGTGCTTGTAAGGAACCTTTGTGAAGGGTATTTTAGCTTCGTTTAACGTTTTTTCTTGTTTAACATGAATATTTCTCATGTTTCCAAAAAATAATACATAATATCAAACGCTGACCAAAGGATGCATATGTACATATGCATATATGTATGTAAGTATATATTCATAGCTCGCGTCTTTATTAAATGTCCACTGTGTATTTTATACATTAACTATAAACCTTTAAGGCGTTTAATCATAAGTTGACATATCCGTTAATCCTGGATATGTAACTGGGCCGTATATATATATGTATGTATTATACACTAAATTCATGCATATAAAAAATTATTAACCGTAGCTACAAAGAAGGCACACACACATCCACAGAGTTGATTTCTCTTGTACGTTCCGGCTTACCGCTTTTGTGTTTATATTCTTCGAACTGCATAGCTTTGTGCATGCACATACATACTTACATATGTACCACACAGATGTGGCGTGAACTTGTTGGTAGGCTTTCAGCAACTCATTTGTTTGCTCAAGTCTTTATGTTGTCAACAAACAGCTAATCCTTTGCACAATGCTTGAGGTTGCCCGTCGCTTTGTGGTGTTACGGTGCTTGCTTGCTAATACAAAGTGGTAAAAGCTAATGAATGCCAGCAGAGACTTTGTTAAAACTTAAAATCAGCCTTTTAAAGGATATAATTTAATCTTAGTATAGGTTATGCGATATATTAAAAAAGAAAATAACCCCCCTTTAACAAAGTCAGGCTATTCGTTGATAATCAGTGCAGTACACGTTGTTTGATATTGCTGGCAACAATTAGTTGGCAGTACCCTGTAAGCTGATGCAATGTGGTTGTATAACTCTGTAAAATTGCGATTATCATAAATGTTTTGACTTGAATCGTTTTAGCTGGGCTTATTGCTAATCAGTATGAGTTTAAAGGTCTAAAAACAGGGTACACAAAAGGGAATGCAGCCTTTAGTTATATTCGCCATAGGCACACTGCCAATGTTGCTAGTAGCACTAATCAGTGAAAATCGTAATTTCCTTAAAGGTACAACATATACACCATAAGCATAGATACATAATATTTATAAAATATAGAATATAATATTTATAAAATATAGAAATTCTGCTGATCATTTTTGCAAATAATAGCGGTCAACCAGCTGAGGGAAGCCAACGGGACTATGAACGGATATCTGCCGTTTGCAGTTCCTTTTCATGTCTCCATACAAGTTAAACTTGGTAGGCGGTATCATCATCTATGTGGCGGCAGCATCATTCACGAGCAAGTCATCTTGACCGCAGCGCACTGCTTCTTTCAAAGACATCCAACGAAACATCTAAGAGTGATGGCCGGTGTACAAAAGTTCACATTGGAAGCGGCACAACGTTACCACGTGGCACAAGTCATTGAGCACAAGGCTTTTGTACCGCTACAAGGTTATGATATCGCTCTGGTTATTCTAACTTTGCCGTTGCCTATTGATGGTGTGCATTTTGATACGGTGGATTATCGAACCGGCGGTAATGTGGAAGACAGCCTGGAAACATATCTAATTAGTTGGGGCCAAACAACGGGATTTATGGAAATTGTTGCATTCAAAACAATCCAATCTCATGAGTGTCGTTGGTTTGGCTTTACTTATATAACACGCACTGATTTTTGCGCTTACAGCGCCACGGGACGTGGTGCTTGCGATGTATGTACGAATTCGAAATATTGAGCATTATATTAAGTTATTTCATAATTTAGGGGGATTCTGGTGGTGCACTACTTACCGCAAATCTTACCAAACAAATTGGAATTTTATCGTATGGAAAAACTTTTTGTAAGAGAAATCATATCTATGTCTATACAAGTTTGTTTCGCTTGTTTAACTGGATAGACGAACAAATTGTAAATTTGGCAGGCGCACAGAATTTTCGAGTATGATGTACTGAAAATAAATGTAAGCGCAACACTTGTAACGCATTAACATGTTGCACAATATTTATTGGCAACAGCAGCATTATCAACTAGCTATTTATATAATTGTAAGAGAAAATTGTCATGTTGCAATTTGTTTTGTGACAGCAGAAGCGCCTACCTGTTGTCATCAATTAAGTAACAAGCACACGCGACCTATAAATAATGTGAAAACAAAATCTATGGATTAACAAGAATCTCCGCACTCACGCTGTGTACACATACAGCTTTTATTATATTAAGGGCAAACAGTGGAAAATGAAGAGTCGAAAGACGGCTTTAACGAGTCATTCGAAAATCGCATTGCCTATAGGGTTGTGTGGCGAAAATGGCTTAAGCAGTTCACATTATGCTTTATTAATTATCGAATGCATTTTTCTAAACCCAATTGAACTATGCATTATATATGCTCTTATTTATTTATTTTAAACAAATGCATAAATTTTAATTTGTCAGAACATTTAAGAAGATTCTTCAAAATAGGCATATTTCTTAACTTGCTTCCACAGTAGTTCGAAACTATCTTAGAACTTAGCTGCTTTAAAGCAGCTCCATGACCAATTGCGCGCACTGTATGACATCGAATTTACGTCAGCCATAATTTATGTCCTACTGCGTCGCATGCTCGTGTACGACTGTATTAAGGTTTATGGTAACTTGGTAACTTACTTACTTGTAAACAAATGAGACATTGAAATAAATGAGTCTGTGTAGGCTCTGTTTTCTGGGCAAATACTACATTTTGCCAATTTCCACCAAACAGGTACCTGATAAACTAATTGGAGAATGAACGCATGGCCAGCACTGAAGACAAGTTGCAAATAAATCCACACTGTTTAACTCGATAAAAGAGTAAATTAAATAAATAAAAGCCAATTGTGTCACATACCATGGTTTTTTATTTATATGAGATTGTGAGACGACATAATCGTTAAGAAAATAATAATGATATTTCAATTTTCCTTAAGTTTATAAATAGCTACTAGTATGCCCCAATTTGCTTATTCGCTTTCGCACATTGCATACTTACTCACTTGCAGCATGCTTAAATTAACGGTGTACAATATATTAATCTTCATTGCCTTGGGCAATGCTTCTTTTATAGAAAAATCCAATTTTACAATACTAACTTCGGAAGAAATTGCTAACTGTGAGTTGGAAAACTCCGCCAATGAGCTGGACACTGACTCTGTAAATCGTATAAATGGCGGCCGGCCTGTAGAACTAATCGTACCGTACCAGGTATCGTTGCAGGTACTACGACGTGGTCGGTATCACCACTTTTGTAGCGGTTCCATTATCAGCCCTCAGCACGTTCTTACCGCCGCTCATTGCGTCACGAAGATGAATCCGAATGAGATTAGTGTAGTTGCCGGTACATTGACATGGCGCTATGGTGGCGATCGCCATGGCGTTGCAGCTATGCGCTCCCACCCGGGTTTCTCATCGAGTTCATTAATTATTAACGACATTGCAGTGTTAAAGGTAACTCCGTCATTCAATTTGGCCAGAACGTCAATAAGCATAATTTCGCTGGGTAGCCGAGCACGTGTCGGTGAGAATGTGGCAGTGCGTTTGACAGGCTGGGGCTCCCTTACGCCTACGGGATCGAGCGGCTTGCCAGAACGATTGCAAATGTTAGATTATCAAACTATATCGAACAAGGAATGTGCGCAAAGTGGATTTCGCATAACAGCCAATGAGTTGTGTGCCCTTGGCGAAAGAGGTCACGGCGCTTGTGTGGTAAGTAGCTCTCGAAATAATAGTATTGTGGTTTTTCTCAAAAATTAATATTTTAAAGGTGTACTTGTGGTAAATTTGTTATTTTGTCGATATGTTACAAGAAACAATTCATCAAGCTTGTTCGTGGAAATAATATTATAGAAGAGTAAACAACATTTATAATTTTTTTCAAAAATATAAAATATTTCCTAAATATATGTATGTACATATATCGTGCGTCCGTCGGCGTGCAGTGACAAACCTCTGAACCATTATAAGCGGCTCTTCCGGCCCTGACGCTATTCACTGCTACTTCCCATAAAATATTTTGTTCAGATCCATGCAACTATGTAGTTGCCGAACTATAAACACATAATTTCAATTTTCTAAATACTTTTCTTTTCTAATAATATATAATATATTTTACTTGCGTTCGTTCTCATATCCTCATGTTTTCAGGGTGACTCCGGTGGTCCACTCACAATATCAAACGGTACACCACAACTGGTCGGGATTGTTTCGTATGGCACCGCAACTTGCGCCCAGGGTCGGCCTGATGTTTACACAAGAGTCTCAAGCTTTCTGCCATACATTAATAGAGTAATAAGCAGTGAAATACCGTGAAGTTGTAAAACATGCTATTGTGAAAATTAAAGCTTGAAATTAGTGTTCAAACACCAGATACAAGTTACAAATTTAACTAATGGAACTTTAAAAGGAAGAAACACGCGAAACTAAATGAACAAATACATAAATAAATAAACTATGATACAATAGCGACAATGACAATGACGTTGTTAACAAACAGACAAAACTCTGAAAATTCATTCATGACGAACGGGGCGTAAGATGGTCCACCTTTGTTTTAGTCCTAGCACAAAACAACTCTCTTCTTTGACGCCGGCTACGAATGGATATTGCTTGCCATGCCTCATTATCACATATTATGGCGCTGAAGACAGTGCGACCTGCCAGATGCGAACGGCCATTTGGCCATAAGCCAGCCAGAAATGCCGTTGGTTGATTTTAAATATCACTTGAATAACCATAAATGTCCGAAGTTTACTCAATGGCTAATTAAAAAATCTTATTCGATATTCATCACGGACACCTCTTCACAAATTCCACACTACATATTGTACATCATTTGTTTGTTTTTTGCTCTTTTTTAACATTCACAAACATCAAACTTGAAAATTCCATATGTGCATATGGAAGGGCCTGTGCTGAACGATTGGCAAAGCAGTTGGGCTAATTTATTGCTTCAGCTAACGGCAACATTTAGCGCGAGTCACTTGCTCGCTGACATCAAGGCAAAGGAATAAGAACTGATGGCGCAACCGAACCTAATGCAAATGAAAACAATTTGACTCTGATTTGTCGCAGTTTCTATTTATGTACGTGCGCCCCACCGACCTCGAGTCCAAAAGCTTAAGACTATGCCTAATTGGACAAATAATGCAAGTGTTGCATACAAACAGGCACATGGATGTGCTAAAAGTCAGTGGCTGTTGGCTTTTAAGCTATAGTAAGAAATCTTGCCTTTGTTGCACGCGACTGAAATATTTAAGTAAAGTTTAATTTTTCGCACAGCAAAACTGAGCTGCACTTGCAAACAGGCACACATTTAAAATGATTTGAGAAGAAAATATACGCTTTGCTGAGCCGACCGAGCTGCGCCCAGCGACATTTACATATGCATGTGTATACCTACATATATATGTTTATGTAAACATACACATACATACAAATTTTTGTTGAGATCTATTGGGTTTGTTCGCATCGCTGATTTGGCCTTTATTCTATCTTTTGGCGTGAACCCTAACAAAATCATGTGGCTTTGCTAAACCAGCAGTCATATTTTTTATGCGATAGTAGACAAACGTACTTAGCTACTTGGACGTAACTGCTCAGAGTTTCTCTCTCGGCGTTGACTGGAATAGCAGTCAACGCGGTTTACTCATGGCTGCGCGCACATAAATTCATTTAAATCAATCAATTCAATTTGTTTGTCAATAAAATTTAAATGAGTATTTCATTTAAGCAAATTAAAATCGACCCAGTTGAATGTCGAGTTGAGTTTTTGCGCTTGAAGTTCTGAAGCTTAAAGAGCGTCACCCGATGTACCGAAGACTGCAATCATGCTTGCGTACGCTATGCTACCATATGTAAACAACAAATAAAAAGCGTTGCTGACACATCAAGCGTCTACTATGGAGTTTCAAGCTAAATGTTTTCTTACAAGTATAAGTCATTTCTGCGCAGAAATTAAAAAATTTCTGAATTTATTATATTATGTTTTTTTTAGTAATGAATATGCAGAGTGTGGGTACAATCTGTTTGAGTAATCGCCATGTAGTAAATAGACAAACTTCAATGTTGGGAATTTTACTTTTTACAATTATGCAAGATTGTAATACTTTTTTGTAAACCCATGTTGAACAAGTCGTATCAATCATGCGTACAAAAACTTTTTGAGCAATGGTCAGCTGATAAATACATAGACTGAAAGCCGTATAACACCCAAGTATAAACACGCAACGAAAATTATCGTTGTGTAGTGGCATCAAAAACACATAGAGAATTGTTTATTGTTGATAATTTTAAGTGCGTTTCAAGCTGGAATATTGTCAACGAAAATAATAAATAATAAAATAAGAAGTTGTGGCACACACACATATACATATGCACTTGTACGTGCATGCATAGATTTTTAAAAGAACATACACGTACGTACTTATGTACTTCTTGATAATTGATTTGGCCATAGGAGTGGTATAGACACAGAGCTTGGCCGGCATAGTATGCGATAGCAGTTCGAGGAATATTGTTGGGCCATTGAAATAGCAGCTTAGTGTTTTGCTGCCGTCGCTTTTTGTTTTTAAATTGTGTCCATCATAGTTACCAACGCAAACCATGTTGTTGTTCGTGTAACATTGCGTGCAACTGTATATGGCCAGCGATAAGCAGATAAGCAACATTAGCGAGCAATTTTCAATTAACACGAAAACCTGTGAATCGATAGATATACGTAGGTAGCCCCAAGACACTACAGCGGCAGCACTGCTTTGGCTTGGCCGCCAGCGTCAGTCCGCCAGAACAGGTCTCCAATTGGCGTTTACTGGTGTCAGGCAGCCACCATCGAGGTGGCGCTTCGAGCGCCTCTCTAAACAAATTGTGCATCTAATGCTTTCGACGCGCCGCCACGCATCACTGCCAATATGTCCACAGCGGAGTTGTGCATTAGGCTCTCCATCCTCTAGAGGTAAGGCAGACAATAAGTGCCGCATTGGCAGCTGAAGCAGAGCGTTTAGAATGCACTCAAAGCTAATATTAATAATGAACACACACACACACACACACACACACACACACGGTGACACATGCAAGAGCAGCGAAAAAATATCGACAACTTCGAGCTGGCAACGTTCGACCATTTATCATTTTAACGTTTTTGCGCGTAGTGGCCATAAAATTCGGCGCGATCGCCACAAACATCGTTGCTTCAAATAAAATGCTTTTATGCAATACGCAATACTCTTTGTAATTTTCATACACTCATAACAACTTGTTCAGAGTATAATGGGGTTTTTCACTTAATGGTTGTTTGTAACAACTGAAACGAGATGAGATAGATATAGCGCTATATATACAATAGAAAAGGCAAAATGAACTTCGGTAAAAATTAGGTTATTTTTAGAAAACTTGGTATAGGTATATATATCTAACTCAGCCGTCAATTAGGCCAAATGCATTGGTATTCATAATACTAAACGATATCAACAAAAATTAGTTTTATACTATATTTTTTTAAGTTAGAGAGTAATAACCATATAGACCACTCATGCTGATTATTGCCTGTTAACGAATACTACAATATTTATTTTAAATGCAATATTTTTTCAAATATTCGGTTGCGCTCGCATTTACAGCTTCCTTCCTTCTTTTATATGAGTTTGCTGTCAGTGTCTTTCGGTTGAATACATGTTGGTAAAACATAGCTGGTAATGGCGACAGTCGCTTGGCAGCATTTCGATAGTCTATGGCAAGCGATTTCCTTAGCTTGCTGTTGTACTTTTCTCTATAATGTCATTGTCGTCATCAAAGCTTGGGTTTGTGTGCGCATTGACGTTGGTAACCTTTCGCACAGTCTGACACCTTTAAGCCGCTGCCACCACACAATTGCCACTTTACGGTGGGCCAATGATTTGTGGCCACCCATGCCTTCGTAAGTACTCTAAACATGTGATATATGGAGACACGCGGTGCTGTAAGGACTATTCGAGTAAAGTCGCGTTATCTTATGTTTTCGGTGGAAAGTTATTTGGTTTAACGGAAATTTTGCAGCATATTTAATACACGCTTTGATAAAAGTAGGTAACGCTGTATAAGTGGAAATATAATATGCATATATATATATATATATATAACATATAATTATAACATATATATATATTTATGCCTTAGCGCGAATTGGTAAAGTATGAAATCAGTAAATGGGCTCGCGTCTCAATAAGGAATCACAAATCTTCAAATTAAAAATAAACTGACCGTAGCATTGTACCAGAGAATGTTAATGAATGGTGAAGTCGCAAATGTTAGCTGTACTGAAATTTAAATTATTATGAGGGAACATCGAAAAAGCGATTATTATTAACAGCAGCATTGACATTCTCTGCTCTGACGGTACGACACTTACTGGTGCAATACCAACCTTTTTACGAGAGATTCGGCCATAAGAAGTAATTTCTCAGTTTTTCGCAGTTAGTCTCCAAAACCGAAATATTTGCGTTCCAATTTCGAAATTGAGCTTATTGAAAACATATTTATTACTCATAGTGTATAAAGGGGTTTCATACAGCTAGAATTTTCAAAAAATCGATTTTTTTTTAATTGTATTTTCTTAATGTACATATATTTAAGAATATACACAGAAAATTTCATATCGTTCCGGTGAATATTTTCGAAGTTACACGCAAGTTTGAAAAGGCGTTTCAGAATTTTTTATCCCATGTAAAGTGCATTCCAAACTTTAAACGCGTTTTTCTCAGAATGGTGTTTTCAAAGTCGGTGACCAACATTACTAGAAAACGGCTAAACCGATCAGACTCAAATTTTTACTTTTTAACCAGCTTCTAAAATATATTTTTTAGTAATTAATCTATGATCTTTTCTCTCCGATAAATATTTTTTTCTTCTTAAACAATTTAAGGCCAAAATTTCGGTGTAAATGGATTTTTTTTTTGAGAAACCGTCATTTCGTCAAAAAATTTTATTTTGCTTATTGCTTTGATTAATTACTAGATTTACCATTACTTTAACGAAAACTGTTTGGTTTTTTAATATCAGATGATCCAGTTCAGCGATATAGTGGTCACCCTAAAACGTCTCTTTTGAGAAGAGCTCCCGCATATCAGCTGTAGCTCTTTTCCAAATAAATATTTTTACTAATACTAAGTCTTAATATATAGTTAAAAGATACCATAATATGTGTACAAATTTTTGCATCAATAAATGTAAAAGTTTTCTCTGAAAAACTTCTGAAAAATTTACTTTTTTTCCGACTTCTAACTGTATATAACCCCTAAATTCCTAAAACGGAGTATAAATATGGGCGTCATACCGTTTTCCGCTTACTTCAATGGTGTATACAATTTTTCGGTCGGGTCGGGTGTTAAAGTCGGAACTTCGAAATAAATAAAAATTGCATATCTCAAATCGACCTTGAACCACTGGATTTATGAATTTTTATTGATATTATTAATATGGTATAATTTCCATTATTATTCATTTGAGATGCGCCAATTGGTGTCTGTAAATATTTTATTGATAAAAAGCAAAAATAATCAAGAATAATTAACCAGAAACAAAGCGCAATTGCATTATAACGGCGCTGACTGTGTGTACGTATGATACGTTTATAAATGCAAGCAACAATGCAAGCTGCAAGCAGCGCAAAAATTCAAGAAAAATTCGACTTCAAGAAACTACTAGTATTCAACTGCATAGTATATGTATGTACATATACATATCTGCTAAATTATTATACTCGACCAATATTTTCAATGACGCGTGAGTTCAAAATGTCAAAGCATATGGTACATAGCCCATGTGTCGACATATGTATGTGCATATGTATGTATAAGAAGGCTTAGCTCAGTCCCCAAGTGCTGTGTCGGCGCACACGTGTGTATGTGCGTTGGCACAAGACGCGAAAGCACAAATGTCAATAGCAAAATGTGCGCATGCGCTTTGATGACGGCCAATGCAATTTTGGGGCAACAGCTAGCGGACGTGGATGCTACTGGCTTTCTTAGTGCCAGTGTTATTTCGCGGAGGTGCGGTATGGTCCTACGCAACGCTGACCTGGTGCAGTTTAGTACTGATACTACTGCAAAACGCGTAGATTTTATTTTATGATTTGTTGTCTTAGTTAAAGCTACAGCTCATTGGCAAGTCAGAAAATCACGCATTCGCCTCACGTTCCTCAACTATGAACTCCGGCAAAGATAATACCACTTTCCCAAATATCTTTGGTGTTCGCTTCTTTTTCGCATTGGTAACTGCTTACCAGCAGACAGTTATTGCTAGCAGTTGTTTCTCTTTTTGTGTTTTTACGAGCAGTGCAGTGTTTTTCATTTTCGAGGCCAATTTGGTAAATTTGTAAAGATATGCAATATGTGTGTATGCTGTTGAAAACGGTTTGGTTGCAGGTGCAAAAATTGCCACAATTGGAAATGCAATTCTGCGGAGTTTTCCACGGTTCATCCTTTGAGTTTTGTGTAGCTGAACTAATTTTTTGAGCCAATTTGAACACCTGTATGCAATGATGGCTGATTGAAGTACAATGTATTTATATATTATATTATATATTAGTCAAATTAAAATGTATGATATGCAAATTTTACATTTTCAACCGATTGCAAAAATGATGATGCAATGCTTAAAACGTTTTTTAACCATATTTATTCGTTTCAGTGCCGCTGGCAAACAATGTACTTAGGATGAAAAGCATATTATATATTTTGTTTTATAATAAAAATTTTGTTTTATAATTGTATGATGTTTTTGTGTAAATTTTCGGCAAAACTTAAGAAAATATATTTATAATTACAATCTGTGTTTTATTTTCATTAATTTTTATCTTTACGTATTTGCTAAAAAATAGAAAAAAGTGTTGCGTACGTAAACTTTGTTGTTGCAGTGTTCTATAATATCAAATTGAGAACGCATCGTTTTGCAATATTGTTTAACGCTGCATACCATTACTGTATAAAACTGCAGTCAAACTGTAACTATACTTTGCAGTAGCACGTTTTCGAGGGCAGTCTATCACTTTCAACGCTATTCAATTTTTCCTTGTAGTTACTTCAGTTTGTTAACCCTTATGTTAGTAACCGGGCACCCGTAAAAAATTCAATATTTCATTTTAAGCTCTCAAACCGTCGTTTTTTATTTTAAAAGAAAGCTATTTGTCAGTTAATTTTTTTAATTTTTTTTTTTATTCTACGTTTTTATTTTTATTTTTTTCTTTGAATTGTCACTGACTATTAATATTTGAAGAAACAACTTTTTTAGAAAAAATTTTTTTTTATACAATAAACAAAATAATAATAATACTCAGATCGGTT